TCCTCGTTTGACTAGTCGTTTTTTATTCTCCTCGATGCCGTACAAAGAAGAGTCAAAAAACATACAAAAGGCCAAAAGGGTGATTCCAAATTTAAAGCCAAAAGCCAAACAAAGTTCTTGGGATGCTCCAAATTGCAAGAGACTTTAGGTTTATATTGTATTCCTTGAATATATGATTAAACAACGGAGAATCTGTCTTAATTAGAGGGTGATATTATTAATTATAAGTGGATTAATTCATGTTTGGACATGTCACATAGATTAAACCAAAAGTAAATACCGAACAACGTTCGCATTAGGTTAAGAACTAGATTTACTTATCAACTTATTTTAACTGGTCAAACTTAATAATATTCCAAATCGCATTAAACGTGCTTGCCGTACTTGAAAAAAAATAATTAAAAAAAAACGGATAACAAAAATGACATAACTGGTTTCATAAATGTTATTAATTAGCGAATGGGAGCATTGTTTTTTGTATGTTGATTATAATAAGAAGCATAGATTGAAATGTTTTCTTTTAATTTAGTTTGCGTATATTCATGTAGACTTTAATTTAATCAATTTTTTTTTTTTACCATCAACCAATATATTTTGGTAGATCAGCAACAGAAGAGAAATTGACGTCCTTCTTAATTAATTGTCTTCTTCAATTAATATTCTGCTCTTGAAGGGTCATTCACATATAGTTAATTAGAGACGGAATGACCAATCGTTTTGGCCCTTAATGATATCTCCAACCATATCTATTTTGACTAATTTTCAATCTTCTTCTAATTTCTATATATTACATTATTATTCTTGATGTGTATAATTTTATTATGTATGCTTTGAGAATATTGATACCATCATGTAGACATTTACATTAACATGATAATCAGTAACGCTTAAAAAACTAAAAGTAAGCAAAGAACTGTGTCTTATATTTAAATTCTTTATATATACCAGCCTCGAATTTGATTCTCTTTCAGCATCTATATTGCTAGCTGGATTTTTTCTTGTTATAAATCCTCTAAGATGGAGACTAAACGTAGGATACTCTTAGATATGATGCTTATTACTTCTATATACTAAGAGATTGACCAAAATTAAGCCAAACATGTTGTCATAAATGTGTAAAATAATTAACCGATCAAAAGACAGCAAATGAATATGTTTGGTACTTGGGCTACCGCAAATGTATACATACTTACGAAATAGGAAATATATATATATATATATATACACACACCTACATATATAATATACACACACACACACAAAATTTTGGACCTTGTGAATGTGATATTGTGTCCTCCCCGATCATGTCCCAACGTTGTACGAAAGTTACTTGAACATTGTGTGTGAATCGGGCATCAGTTGATGATTTGTGTGGGAAGGTTAGGACATAGTAGTGATGACAATAAGACACAACTCCACATGCACACACATGCATATTCGTGGCTGTATATGTGGCATCCTATGCACTTCTTCTTCAACTTATAATCTTATATATATATACACACATTAATTGAATAAACTTCGACCTGTTTGTAGCTAATAAAAGTACACTGAATCGAGTTAGGTCATTCACTAAGGGATACTACCGAGCATAAAACCCTCAAATAACCAAACATTTTAAAAAGTTTACTGGGACACCGTCAAATAACCAAACATTTTAAAAAGTTTACTGGGACACCGTCAAATAACCAAACATTTTAAAAAGTTTATTGGGTTATGGTAAGTCAAGTTTTCTGACCGTCAGATTTATATAAAATCACGTAAAAATAAAAAAAAAATTACAGATTAAACAGTTAAAAAAATTTAACATATTGATGCGTCAAACGTATCAAAAAATCTCTTTATTATTATTAATTAGCCTCTCATAATAATAACAACAATGACAATACTCAATAGTAGTAATAACAAAAGTCAAATACGGAATACCATATTTGATAGGTGTTCATGTTTTTTACTGTTTATTTGACTCGGAAAAACGCTTCCAGTATATACATGTCATAAAATTGACATAAATGAGAAGCTAGGCTTAAAAATGATTGAAATGATTTTGATAAACGACAGGTAATATTTTGTCAGATTAATGAAACCGCCGGCCTCTTCTTCTACCTCATCCTTCTCAAGCTCTCTATAAGGTCCTTTGTCTCTATCAAACTAACCCATCACTCGGGTTATTGACCAATTCAGGACAATTCGTGTAATATATCACTCCTATAAATATGTTTATACAACAAATTATAACTCTTCCAAATAGATATTTCAACAAAATGAATTAATTATTGTTGTAGGGTAAAAATATAGACCTAAGAAGGTTTAATGTCATTAAAAAACTTATTAAGAGCACAAGGATAACTCAACATTAGTTTCTGCGTCATCAACATTAAGCAATAACGACAGGAGGTCGACCCTTCAAAAAACTTTAAGAATGTTTAAGGGGATGAGGCTTCAAGCTGTGCTTAGGGAGAAGAGGTTTTGTCCAATCCTCACGGAGTTGAGGCTTCTCAAGATCAAGAAAGTATATAAGGAGTTGAGGCTTCGTAATACCAAATGTTTAAGGAGTCGAGACTTCATAAAACTCCAAGAAGTATGTAAAGAGATGAGGCTTCATGCTACACTTAGGGCGAAGACTCTTACGAAGTCGAGGCTATAGAAAGATAATGAATCCACTAGATTTGCTCCATAAATCAAAATTTGTATTTTAAATGTGAAATTTAAATATAAAACCGCACTAATTGATTGTAATCTCTATCTTTTGAGAAACTATATCAAAAGATAAGGAAAATATCTCAAATTTAGAGGATTATAGACTAGAAATTTTCTGAAATCTCACACTTATGAAAAAGCGTGTAATCTCTTCTCAAATTAGTGAATTCTCTCATCCTCCTCACATTGGATGTAGTTCTTAAATTGAGAGTGAACCACCATAAATCTTCATGTATTCTTATTTTTATTACATTTAACTTCATTTTGTTGTATTTATATCGCTGCAAATCGTATTAATTTATTTTAAAATTCGTTAATGTATTTTGACCACCAATAATTATATATACATATATTCAAACAAATCAAAGAAGCGTTTGAGTGTTAAATCGAAGGAATCACGAAAATACAGCTGTTTTCGTGTGACGTTTAAATAAAAGTACGGCAAATCCTTTTGGAATTTCTTCTCTACGTTTCCAACACGCAAACTTATAGTACATTTTTGGGAGTGTAAAGAAGTTGAGTGAAATTGTAATTAAGAGTTCGTTTAGTTTATGAATTAGAATTATGAGATTAGAATTATTTTTTATTTATGTGTATTTTTTGTGAAAAAAAATACTATAACAAACTATAAACTATAATTCAAATCAGAGAACGAATCCTCAAACCAAACGAATCCTAATTCTGTAAATCCATAACCGAGAGTATCAACTATCAAACGACATTTTGTGAAGAAATTATGACATTGGGCTCTGCTGATTTAAACCGAGCCCAGTCTGAACCCAAATTTTTAGTAAAAATCACAAGATGAGACTGTCTTCAGAGTTAAATTAAAATGTTGCTTACTTTTTCAAATATCACGTATATAGCTTTTTTAAAATATTACATTTTTTGACGTCCCAAATATCCCCTTCCATTTATTTTGCTGGGCATTTTTTGTTTATAACTAACTGTCATATTTTTCTCTTCAAGCACAACCCATCCTAATAGAACATATCATTAAAATAGAACATCATTAATATAATGTAATATCAATTATAATGTAATAGAACAACTCATTCTATTAGAACATCATTAATTAATATAAAACAATATCAATTATAATGTGATAGAACAACCCATTCTAATATCAATTATAAAATAGAACATCATTTAATATAATGTAATATCAATTATAATGTAATATAACATTATTAAGGTACTAACATATCATTAAAATAGAACATTATTAAAATAATGTAATAAAACAACTCATCTTAATATCAATTATAAAACATCAAAAGTTTGTGCTTCTCGTACAACATGTTTGAATGAAATAACAAAATCAATTAAAAAAAAAATGATGATCATATGGTGAAATGCTTACAATAATGTTGTTGCTACATCAATTACTTTATTTTTGGGATTTGAATTTTTTAAAACGGATAGATATCTCACAAATTGTAGACAAAAAGTAGAGCATAACAACAATTACATGACTCGTTCATTTTACCGATTCGAGTTTTTAGTTTTAGGTTTTTACAGTAAAAAGTTCTCAAAAAATGTCACATCTAGCTTTTTCTATTACAGTGAAAAGCTCTCAAAAAATGTCACATCTCAGCTTGAATTGAAAACTCGAATCCACAAAGTGAACGAGGCCAATATTTTTAGGATTTGAATTTTTTAAAACAGATATCCCATCAATCGTGAAAAAAGAAAAAGTAGAGCAATATCTAAATTACGTCAAAAAAAAATGTAAACGTAATTACATAATATTTTATTTAAATATTATTATACAATTTTATTTAAATATCATTATACAATTAGATCATGTATGAGATATTCTCAAACCTAACCCATATTTCAACTCTACCGTTGTTATTCGGCCATATGTTTTGGGGTTGTTCTTTTGGAATGTAACTTGAATGTAATTTTGAGTTGAATTTGAATTATAACTTGAGTTGAAGTTGTAACTTAAATAAAATTGAGTAAAATTGAATAAAGTTAAAACTTAAAAGAACGTGAACTTAAATAAAGTTAGAACTCGAGTTAGTATTTTTTTGAGTTTTTTAAACAAAAAAACATGCCCATCACCCAAATTTTTATGTGGGCTCTTTGCATCGGTGATCGGTTACGAACAAGCCCAAAACCATACGACATTGCAGAGCTGTAATGGCCGAAACCCCGCTCGCTGTAATGAAGGTTCCTCAGATAACAACCATAACAAACCCCTAAATTTAGACCTAATTAGCACAAATACAAGCCGCTAATCAGCAGAAACCTAATTAACCAAAAAAACAAAACCCATTTTCTTCTGCTTCAGAATGAGATTGGCGATCCTCAACAACTCGACGGTGACGCAGTTCATCGAAGACGAAGAAACCTTCGATGGCTGCATTGGGCAAAGCTTCGCGATGCTCGACGCCGACGGCGACGGAGCGCTGTCGCGCGAGGAGCTTCGCGTGGGGTTCGGTCGGGTTCTGCCGCTCGGATCCGTGTCGGACCCGCGGAAGGAGGTCGCCGACAATCTGTTCGACGAAATATTCCGGAGGTTCGATTCGGACCAGAACGGCGCGATCGATCGCCAGGAGTTCAAGTCGCTGTCGAAGGAAATGGTGCTCGCGATGGCGCGGGGGATTGGGGATTTGCCTGTTCAGCTCGCCATTGATCGCGATAGCTTTCTCATGAGGGCCGTTGAGCATGAATTGGAGAGAATCTGAACGGAATTTGGGGGAAGATTTATTGTACGATGAGTCTGATATCGAAAAGTGAAAGAATATTGTGGTTTTATGACTTGTTTTGTAATGGCCAAATTGGCATGATGAACAAGGTTTTGGAGTTGGAAAATCTTCTGTTTGATTTATTATACCGTTGAAGCATTCATCGTACACATTCCGTGGATATGTATTTTGTCCATGTCCTTTGTTTTTTCCTAGGCAATTTTCATGGAGATTTTAATTTTTACGCTTGCGTGCCTGTTTATGACTTTACATATTTACCTACGCAAGTACATTATACGATTATACGATATAGTACATAGGTGATAGATAGATGTTAGAACACTGACTAGCCCAGCCTTGGACGTTAATAAAGGGATGGGCTTACAATTTGGATCGCGATACGAAGATATAACTCGAAATTCACATAAAATTAGTGAGTTTAGGTTTATTATAAATGAGTTTAGGTAATAATCATGTTGACACGATTAACACGATTAATAAATAAGTTGAGTTATGATTGACCACTTAACGCGAAGTGATACGAATTAACACGATTAACTATATGTGTCATCTGTAATTTAATTATATATAATATAATATGAAAGTTTATATGACATATTAAAATACATAAGTAAAATTCATTTATTTTTCTTAAATAAAAAGATAAATTGACTAATAAACATATTAAGCATATCTTGACCGTGTTAAATAAGTCATTATTATATTAGTTATTTATTCAATATATTAATTTAAACGAGTTATGCCGGTTGACATGATTAACACGATTAATAAATATGTCGTGTTTAAGTTGATATTTTTGACATGTTTAATAAACAAGTCATATTTTGGTTGATATTTTTTGACACGATTAATAAACAAGTTAACACAAATACAACTCACTAACACAAATTACCATCCTTAGGTTCCCTTCCTTCAAATGTTCGTTGATAATCCTACCGCCTATGATTTCTTCGTACGAGAAGCGATTACTCTAACCCCACACAATATGCTAATAGTAACAATAATGATAAAGGGAACGTAATACTATGAATAATCCTACCAAATACGTAAGGCCCTATTTGGTACGTGACCGAATAGGACTAGAACATTAGGATTGGATTGGCTATGATTGTATGAGATTTTGTTAAATCCTAGGATTATTTATCCTAAGCTTAGTACATATCTGGTGTGCCAAACGAGGCCTAATGGTAACAATAAAGTTAAAGCGGACATAATACTATAAATATATAAGAACATCAACTGTAATCTTTAACTTTTGTAAAACTCTTTAGTTTTATTTAATTTTGATAGGTGTAATTTATTGACGAGACAATCTTTTAAACACTTTATGACTATAGTAAATGAAGGCCACGTATTGAAGAGTTGATATTAAAATTGAGATTATAATGGGTGTTTCTAACATTATTTTAATACTATACAGCAATGTGGTATAATTGTATATGAAAGAGTAGAGTTGGTGTTCACAGAATGTGGAACGGTGTTTGCACTTGCAATAAATAATCATAAAATGATTGAGGGTCTGTTTAATTCGTTGATTCGAGTTGAGATATAATTTTATGTGAGAATTTTTTTATTGTAATAAAAAAGTTAGATGTGACTGTTTTTTAGAGTTATTTATTGTAACAAAACTCAAATTTTAAATTCAAATCGGTAAAATAAAAGAGGAGTTAAGATTTGTTGGCAATGTGCTCAGTGAGCATGATCAAGCAACCCAAGAAACCTTTGTCTCTATAAAACGGCTGTAATTGTCAATTGTTAAAACTGTTGATATGATCTTCCCTTCCAAAGATTCATATTTCGCAAAGCATTGTTGCGGAAAATGAGCCTCTAGTTGCTTAAACTATTGGTAGTAACTTCGTGTTGTGAAAGGCTTATTGGCTACACTACACTGGTTATATTTCATGATAATATATATGGTGTATGGATTAAATTTTTCTGACATATGTGGACCGTTAAAAGGAAATGATCATGATGAAAATCAGCATCTGCCAGCATTTTCTCGAGATATTACGATATATTTACTTTTTGATAAATGAAAGAAGAAATGTAACATGTATTCTACCAACTTATTAACTTGTATGAAGGGAAAAGAAATGGGGGGAAAAAATGATTAGCCGTTGAAAATTCAGCCAAAAGACTAATCGGTTACTGTTATTATTTAAATGAAAAAAAAAAATTTATACGAACATGTCATGCTTTGTCATTTTTTATACATTCCATACACGGTTCCTTGTTGCTATCCCATTCCAACATTCACCAAATGACGTTAAAAAGGGTCTCTTCACGGCACCGTATCAGTTCATAAATTTAATTTTTATAACTTAAAAATTCAAAATTTATAAATTTTAACGTAAAATTTACAAATTATTATATATATTTTTTAAATTCACAAGTCTATCGTTAATTTACGAACTCTAATATAAGAGATGTTTAGTTAATAGATTAGAATCATGTTATTAGAATTATTTTTAATTTACGTGTATTTTTTATGAGAGAAAATACTATAGCGAACCACGAACTATAATTCAAATCAAAAAATAAATCTTTTACGTGTATTTTTTATGAGAGAAAATACTATAGTGAACCACGAACCATAATTCAAATCAAAAAATAAATCCCCCAACCAAACAACCCCTTAAAGTTTGAAAGTTTCAAGATGAAATTCATAAGTTATCATCGTATCTCCGATACGGTGTCGGAAAATTTTCTCCCTACACCATAAAAGTTTCCCTCTAAAAATACCCTTTGATGATTTTTTTCCCTGATGAATAGTAGTTCACATTTGAATTCATTCTCAAAATGAATTTCACTAGATGACAAACTGAATTAAGCTCTCAGCAAAAAAAACAAAAGTTGTTGGTCCACGCCTTTCCCGAAGGCCCCATCTCCAACCCCAAAGATGACACAAAAGAATTTTTTTTTTTTTTTTAAAAGGACTTCCCTTTTTAAAGCATAAAAAATCTAAAGTCACCTGTGATGTTAACCTACCTAGAACCCCCCAGTGCAGCACAGCTCACTCCCAATTAGAAGAAAGAGAGAGATGGAGATAGATTATTAGAAAAACACACTGTCAAAGGCGCAAATTGAGGAACCCCAACATGATTGAACTCTGCGTTTATAAGGCTTTACTTTACCCACTGGTGCTGATGATTATGACGATGAAATCTCTCTCTCTCTCTCTTGTTTTTTTTTTTCCTTAATAAACAAATAAAATAATACTAAAAAAACCCATCATTTAAGATCCAAAGGACCGCCTTTTCTCTCCCACACCACAATTCATCTCCAACCCCACTGCCCAAAATCCCCTGAAGCAACTCCCTCACCTCCACCATCAAACAACTCAAAGCCGATGAATTGAATTTCATACTAATTGAGATACTACTACTTTTGAGCAGTACTACTACAAAGTTACCAAAAAAATCATAAAAAAAAATGTTGGAAACAATGATCCCAGCATGTTTCAGCCAACCAAACACCCACACATCGCCCAGTAATTCTGAAGCTGCAGCGCCTCATCAAAACCTGATAACATCCATATACCAAACTCAGCTCTGCAACTCCCCAACATATCTAACTCTCACATGGTCCAAATCCCTCTTCTCCCACACTCTCACCATCTCCGCACCAGACTCTTTTTCCTTCACGGTTTCTCTCATTCCATCGACTTTCTCATTCTTCAGACCCAAACCCACCTCCAAATCCATCTACTTAACCCACCAGTATCACTACCGGAAGATCAAGCTCTTCTGGGACTTCACTCGCGCCGAGTTCGCAAACTCGGCTGAGCCTGAGTCCCGGTTCTACCTCGCCATCGCCTGCAACTCCAAGCTTCAGTTCTTCCTAGGAGACGACGGCCTTCTCGGCGAGTTGACTCAGCGATCCGGGTTGGCCGTCGACGACGGCGACGACGTACCAAAACCGACGCTGCTTTCGCGGCGAGAGCACGTGTTTGGACGCAGGAATTACGAGTCCCGGGCGGTGTTTTTGGGGTCCAAGCATGAGATCGGAATAGAGTGCAATGGCGGGACGTTGAAAGTCAGAGTCGACGGAGAGTTGAGCCTTGTGGTGAAGAGGCTGGCGTGGAAGTTCAGAGGGAACGAGAAGATCTTCGTTGGTGGGGTCGAAGTTGAGTTCTTTTGGGATGTTTTCAACTGGATTAACGGTAATAACGGCAACAATGCTAACGGAAATGGGCATGGAGTTTTTGTGTTCCAAGTCGGTGATGGCGGGGTTTGGCCGGAGATGGTGGGACCGGAGAAGAGGCTGTTGAGGAAGAGCTTGTCATCGCCGGTGGCCGGTAGTAATGGAAATAATTATCATTGTAGTAATAATAACAATACGACGTCGTCAATGCCGTCGTTTTTGAATACGATGTCGTATTCGCCTTCGTGCTCGAGTAGTGTTCTGCAATGGGCAGAGGAGAGCAGCGATGGAGGGTCGAGGAGTTCGTGTTCTTCGTCAACTAGGTCTTCTGGTAGTAATGGAGGGTTCTCTTTGTTGCTTTACGCTTGGAGAAAAGATTGAAAAAAAAAAAAACCAGGGTTCTCTTTGTTGCTTTACGCTTGGAGAAAAGATTGAAAAAAAAAAAAAACCAGAAAAAAAAAAGAGTCGTTTGAGATCATATATATGAGAGATTATAATTAGATTGTTTTTAGTAGTAATTCTTATATGACAAAATGGTGATTAATTCATTATTTTGAAAAACGATCGAGGTATTCTTTATTTTGTTGCTGGGCTGCAATATTTGCATGCTGTAAATTTATAATAATTTGACGAAATGCTTTTTGCAGTTCAAACATATATACTTTTTGCAGCTTCATCATTTGAGGATCAGAGGTTTCAATTTTAGTTTTACTACACATTTATTAATTAATCTATAGCTAGCGCGTTTCTTTTTTTAGTTTTGGAAATAAATAAATGAGGAGAAGAAAGTTTGTAAAATATGAACAACGAGTTTGCCCGATTAACGTGTTGGAACATATATTTGTTGTGCTTTTTTAGTGAGTGCCAACCTAAGGTGGGGTTCTTTTACAGCTTTTTTGATTTGGATATGAAGAATACCAGGGGCGCCCAAAACGACATCATGAGCTGGGCATTGTATTTGAATTAATCTTGTGAAATTTCGAATAAATTAACCACGGACAAAACTCTTTTTCTTTTGTTAATGTCGTTTTGATATATCTAACACGTTAATTAGCTAGTTTCAAAGGCACTTTGATAAAGTAATCAAAGAAGTTGTTGAAACTTAAAAGCGATCATGAATGACGACAACAGACAAGACTACATTGGTGAATCAAAATTTAATAGCTTAAATAGTTAATTCCTAATCTTTATGAACAAGAATAAATATATATATGATAAAATCTATCTAATATTTACATTTCCAACATCTGAAATATATTAAAAAAGAATCCATACGTATGTACGTAACAGCTCCTTTTTTTTTTTTTTTTTTTCTAATTTCTGGAATGATAGTAATAAGAATAAGTGATTAAACATTGCCTTTTCCTTCTATTACGTCCGCTTCCCATGAAAGAAATTAAAATGCATTCTTTTCTGAAGTGAGCTGCATGAATGATGAATCCAAAGATTAAATAAAGTGGGTAGCCTCCTTAAATCCAGTAGGGAAGTTGTTAATCTGAAAAAGTCACTTTTAACTATTTTCTTCAACTAATTTTTAATTAGCTATTTTCATGAACTAATTTGTAATTTTTGAACAAGTTTTGTCGTGTTGTCACTCCTGTGAAAACAACAAATTGGGAAAAAGAAAATACGACAGATTATGATTCTAAAGCGGCTGCAGCATGTAACACAATTATTGACTTTGTAGCAGTGTTTTGAAAGATTTCGTAACATTCGGGGTAAAGAAATATTTTCCCGAAACGTATAGAGTGTAATAACAATTTAGCCAATTAGCCTCGGCTTGTGAAAGTAGTTAAAACTACTCTGCTAAAGCACACAAGGTACTTGAAGGTCCGGAGACGTTTGGTTCATAGATCAAAATTATTTTTGATTTACGTGTATTTTTTATGAGAAAAAATATTATAATGAATCATAAATTGTGATTCAAATCCTGGTTTAAATCCTCCAACCAAATTCCAATGAATCCACACGAATAAATTTCAAATTCCATTCATAACTTAACCACCACGAGTCAGAGTCTTTAGTCTTTGCATATAAAACCCTGAAATCAAAGGCTTCTAGATTCATGTGACCACAATTCCTAATGACTTTGTACCAAAACTTATATAACAAAAAAGGAAAAACTAAAAAAAAAAAATGTTGCATTATTACAGCCATGCACGCTCGCACAGTTGTAACCACTCCAACCGCATAGGATTCCCTATAAACTATCACCTTATAATTAGACACATATATTCAAATAGGCTCTATAAGCCTTTCACATAAAAGCTTACACTTTCTGAACCAAACCCATAACCAGCTCTCATTACCCACTTTTTAGCTCCTCTTTTGTGCCCATCCTTGATGAATTTATATCCTTTCTATCATCATTACATGTGTATGCTTTCTTCTTTTTCACAATTATGGCAAATGAAATAAATATATGAATACGTTATTTTTTAAGGTCTTGTTTATTTTACCAATTTAAATTTTCAGTTATAGATTTTTACAGTTAAAAGTTCTCAGAAAATGTCACATCTAACTTTTTCTGTTACAGTTAAAAGCTCTCAGAAAATATCATATCTCAGCTCGAATTAAAAACTCGAATCCGCGAAGTGAACGAGGTTTAAGTCTCAATTCATTTCACTGATTCGAGTTTTCAATTTCTATTTTGTTACAGTTAAAAGCTCTCACAAATATAGTGAAAAACTCTAACATAAAATCATATCTCAATTCGAATTGAAAACTCGAATTTGCGAACTGAACGAGACTTAATATTTGGTAATGAAGCAAATAAGTAATATGGTACATACGTTGAACGACAAAAATGCGATGGAAAACACTATCTAAAGTCGCTCGACAAATGCTAATGGTTAGTGTTTGTTCTCTTTAATGACTTGTAAAGTCTACATTTGGCTGTTAACTAAACCATGTTTTGACTGTTTTAAGGAGACATCCAAATAACAACAAAAGTAAACGCGTCATTTAGGCTGGCAAGCTGTCGAGACTGTTCTTGTGTTTAATTATCCAATCTCCCTTAGATTTTTTTTTTTTTTTTTTTTTTTTTTTTTTTTAAATTCTTGTTTGCGAGGTCACAAACTTATTTTTATTTAATTCTGGCCAGTGGCCGGCAAACAATGATGACAGAGAAATTTCTGCATGAGATATGTCTTAACATATACTTACTTTTCTACGGCTGTTTTGAATTTTGACATTCCTATTTTATCACTCCAAAAGAACCTTTTGTTATTGCTATTGTATCCCTGACAACTAATATTGACATTTATTTGGGTTTGGGGCCCTTTCATTCATCAGGCCTTCCAAGACTAGGCGTGAATATCTGGCGAATTGCTTCAAGTGCAGAAACGCTCCAACTCTCAGCATGCCTGACAATCTGAGTATAACAGGCGACATGAATCAGTAGCTAATAACAACACTTTCACACCTTTAGTACAAGTACTATCCAAATTGCACAAGTCCAAAGCTTTTTATCTTACTCTAAACTCGTCATCTAATTCATAGACCGTACTTCCGTCGATGCAAATGAGAGGCCTCCATGGAAGTTTTAGGTATGTCCTGCATAGCAGACAAAGTTGATCGTTTGTTAAAAGGAATATAGCAGGCTCCAGTAGCACTATCCTAAGACCGAAGCAAAGAGGCAACATGAAACCAACTTTCGGGTTTCTGTGCAGTGGAAAAGTCCTGCTTTTCACAAAAATAAATATAGGCCAGAAGGAGAATTGAAACCTCCATTAGTGACTCAAAGCTCTTGGTCGTCCTAGTCTAACTACTTATACAGATCAACTTAGAAGCAATCTCCATATGCAATAGGGAAATGCTAACTTCTAGAATCTTGTTGCAGTAAAAGCAAAATAGAAAGTAGATGAAGTCAAGCACCTCAGTTTCCAAGTTGCCACCACAAAATTTGGTTCAGCGGTGATATCCTGCATAGGCAAGTGTTACGAGGCATTCGCAACGATATTGAACTTTTCAATGATGAGAAATTCATAAGTGGTCTAAACACGTATTTAACACAATGTGCAGCTCAAAGTCATGTTATGAGACTTCACTGATCCTCGTTAACTTTTTCGTCGGAACATTCATTCTTTCTTTCACTTTGTCTCAGACTACAGTTGATTTGAGGGGCTGCTAGAAAGGAAGCTGAATGGTAGGAAGATCTGGTTGCCTTGTATTTTTTATGTGAATGCAGGAGATCAACAACAGGGCAAAGCAAGCTAAGTGAAATCAGGTATCTTTAAACTCTATATGAGTAACTACTAACTAGATTTAGTTCCATTTGTTAAGATCAGGACCTAATCAAGCTGCTTCTTTGTTGTCTTGATAGCAAAGTGCTTAATTTGAAAGCATATCGTCTATTGACAATCTTAAATTCTAGTGCAATCGAAAGAGAATGAGTACCTTCTCAATTTTTTCCAATCCAACAGATGGAGAGTCAAAGAAAGGAACAAGCAATTTCAAGTTGCGTGAATACAATTCCTTACCTGAAAAGACCAGTAGAAGTTACTGAATTCCTCTTACATACAGAAGAATAAAGCCACTGTAACTCATCTTACCTCGAAATCGAATAGTTGGATCTTCAAAGATACAGTCCTCAGCATAAATTTCAGAGGAAAAAATCCCTATTCTCAACACAAGTATTAACCTCATATAAGATAATTAGGAATGAAAACTGCGCAGATATTGTAGAATTCAAAGATGGAAAAACGTACCTGTAACAAAATAAGCATTCTGATAATCAGATTTGAGTATCGTGATAACATCATCGACACTTGAAACTGAAAAATCGACTATCGTTTTCTTGGTCACTCTGTCCAATCAGCAAAACCAATACAATAACAGGCAAGCAACTTGCATACAAGAAATGCGTAATCAATAAACGTAACTTATGCAATAAATGAAATAATTATTGAGAAACAGACATCCTGATTCTACTAAACAATAAAGTCACAGAAGAAAAGAAAAGTAAGAACACACGAAATGTGAGAGCTACCTCCATCTTCAATAGCAGCAGAAGTTCACTATGACAAAGGAGATTGTAAAAGAGAATTGCACACCACTTAGAATCTTAAAAAATCCTAAAAACGGCCCCCTCTATTTAAAGAAGAAACTAGGATGACCCACGTGTTAGTTTTTGCATCAAAATAATAATTAGGCTCTACAAATTAATGATAATCTAGAATGCATTTTGCAGGAACTAAATTGAGAAAAGAGATACGCTCGTATACCATACAACCGAAGTATTCAAACTCGAAAAAGAAAGTATAAAAAAAAAAAAAAAATTCCCCGAAACTTGGAAGTATAAATCCCATTGAATCCCATCACAAAAATAACTGTAAGCATAAAAAAGGCAAATTAGTAAGGAAAGGAAAGGTAATGATGCCAAAAGCAAAAGGATATAAAACTGCATATCCGAAAACAGAAAACCAAGGCGAAAATGTGCAAGGTTCCTCTACTTAGCAAAATACGAGTAAAAATATGAATTAACTATAAACTACCTGGCAGTTTCGTTGAAGGAAGAAAAGAGCCTAAGAAGCTCAGTGACCCCACTAACCGCAATTCTCAAAACCTGAGGCGTCTCTCTTTTAATTTTATTATCCGGAGCTCCACATAAGCACCGGCTTCCATGCGCAATCTACAGAAAATCGAATTGAGAACCACATTCAGAAAAAAAAAAACAAAATAAAGTTGAGAATGAGCTAATGACGAAATTTAAGATCTCGTTCGATTTACGGATTTAAGTTTTCAATTCGAGTTAAGATGTGACATTTTCTTAGAGCTTTTCACTGTAATAAAAAAAGTTAGATGTGATATTTATTGAGAATTTTTTACTGTAAAAACTTAAAACTGAAAACTCAAATCGATGAAATGAACGAGGCCTAAGTTTGTTATTACCCTGGGCCTGTGTTGCAAGTGTAGCAAAGGAGCTTCTAGTTGTAGTTTTACGGCTCGTTAAGTTCGCTGATTCGAGTTTTTAATTTGAATTGATATGTGATTTTATGTGAAAATTTTTTATTATAATAAAAAAATTAAATGTAACTGTTTCAAATCGGTTAAATAAACGAAACTTGAGTATTCAACAAGGATAATCGTGCATTGTTAAGATTTTTATCACCTTTTATTCTTAATTTATAATATTTTTAATCAAATAATTATACTAATAAAAAAATATTTATTTAAAATAAAAAATAAAAATTCATACTTATCCAAACAAAAATTTTTCATTTTTTCATTCAAACAATCCCGACATTTGCTGTCCTGTAACTGCCATGTCATTACTCTTTTATCTTTTTCATATGAAACACTTTAATATGCCATTATTTCATCAGACGTGATTATAGTTAAATTTGGGCCGATAATAAGAAGCCCAATAACGTTCTACTTAGGCCCAATACATCTAATTCTGATGTTACAGTTACCGCAAACAAAGTTACAAGTTGCAACTTATCCGCAGCAATCTCAAGCTAAAAAGATTCCTCACACCAACCGACTTCTTTTACAGTTCCACTTCCACTACCTACACACTCACTCACTCAACTTCCGACTCCAAACCCGTTTACCTTCGCCGTCTCCGCCAACGCCGATGGCCGATTCCGCCGTAGCTCGTCCGCTGAAGATCATAACCGGCGCCGATTCGTTCGGCTGCGACCTCAAGGACGCCCTCGTCGCCCACCTCAAAACCCTCAACATCGAGGTCGAGGACCTTGGTACCTCCTCCTACTACTCCGTCGCCGCTGAGGTCGGCCGCCGAGTCTCATCCGCCGCCACTGACGCCAACAGCCATGCCGAGACACGCGGCCTCGTCGCCTGCGGTACTGGCGTAGGCGTCGGCATGATGGCGAACAAGTTCCCCGGCGTGTTCGCCGCTACTTGCCTCTCCACATCGGAAGCTCTTAACGCCCGCTCAATCAACAACTCCAACATCCTTGCAGTCTCCGGCATGTCCACGCCTCCTCAGTCCGCCATCGAAATTCTCGACACCTGGCTCAACACCCCCTTCAAGTCCCCCTGCCCCGCCTCGGGATCCAAGCCCTGGCCGGAGGAGATCGAGTCCTTCCTCGATAATTCCATGACCGAGATGCCGAAGATCGGCGGTCTAATCCCTAGCGAAGACTCGAAGTGCTCGATTTGCTGTTTGATTAAGAATCGGGAGCTTAATCCGATCGACATAATCCCCGGCGGATCGATGAAGATCGTGAGAGAGACTCCGACGTCGGCGTTCGTGAGGTTCAAGGCCGGGAGCGTGGAGCCGGCGCATCACCATACGTTCGGGCATGACCTGGTGGTGATCGAGGGGAAGAAGACGGTGTGGAACCTGAGCAAGAAGGAGAGGTTCGATCTGACTGTTGGGGATTACTTGTTCACGCCGGCTGGGGACGTGCATAGGGTTCAGTATCATGAGGAGACTGAATTTTTCATCAAGTGGGATGGCCATTGGGACATGTTCTTCGACGAGGATCTTGAGACGGCGAAGAAAGCTATTGAGAAGGAATCTGAGAACGGGCCTAAGTGAGAGAACAAGATAAAAAAAATGTGCTGAAAAGTTGGAAAAAAAGGTAGTGCTTTGCTTTGCGTTTCTCTGGTTTTGTGGAAGATGTTTGATGGTTGAGCATTATGTAATGGTTATACATTTGAATGGAAAAATGTGGTCTGAGTATCTGTAATGGACGACACGTACTATGGAGCAACTTTGTCTAATAAGAACACACTCTGTATAGTGTAATTGGCTTCTTAATGAGGGAAGGTAGTTTTTTTGCTCTCTGGTTTCACGGAAGACGTTTGTGGCTTGAGTATTTTGTAATGCTTTATAGGATATGAAAGGAAAAAATGTGATATGGGTTTCTGTAATGAGCAAGAATGTATCATTAAGCAACTTTGCTCAATAAAGTTGGCTTCTTTTTGTGGAAATGTAGTTTTAGTTATTATTATTTTTTTTATCTGGTTTTTGTGAAGGTGTGTGTGGATTGAGCATTTTGTGATGGTTTACGTGATATCAATGGAAAAGTACCATATGGGTCTCTGTAAAGACTGTAATGAACAATAATGTACTACCAAGCAACTTTGTCCATGAATAACTCACTTTGATGCTTATACTTTATAGAAATCTTATTTGTCCATGGATTGAACTTGGTGTTTATCTTTTATGGAAATCTTACGTTTCGTCCATTATCCATGCTTAATGGGGACTTTCCTTTTTCTTTTTCCTGAGAGTTCTGGAATGAACCTGGATTTGTATTACTATGGAACACAGAATTACATACAAAATAAACAAAATGTACGTTTTGCTGTAACCACCTAATCGTTATAATTTGAGGTGGTTTTGCTTAGTGCTCAGAAAATGGATGACATGATGGGGTTAAACAAGACTAAGCTCATCAGTAGTATTGGCTGCTTCTTCAAGTTGTTCATGAGAATCAATGGCGAGTTTTTTCCGGATACCTACCAACTCTTCCCCAGCATCACATATGTACGCAGAAGCTTGTCTGCCGGACAAAGTAGCACCTTCCATGCTGTCTATGTAGTCCTGTACCAGAGATAGAAGCATCTATAAGCGTTTCTTATTTTGCTGATAAAATTTCTCTTATATTAGTTGTAATGCTCAATAAACATTTTTCATTCATTTGTTGAGACCTTTTTAATCAAGGTAAATTACCTGTTTTGTATACGAGCCCGCAAGGAAGAAATTTTTTATCGGCGTCTTCTGGTCAGGCCTGAATGGATCTTTACCGGGGCCCTCCCGGTAAAGAGATTGCCCAATTTTGACAACTGATGACCAAATAACTTCTAACCCCTGGGCTGATGGAAATAAATCTAATACCTGCAGAAGGAGAGGGGGGGAAAATTTTAAATGAAGAAGAAATAGAAGAGTTTGTTGCAGACACGGGCCCTGTAGATCGTCTTTATTCTTCACAAATGAGAGGCAAAAGAAAAGTTCTTTTAGAAGGTAATAACCTGTTTCGCCACTCTTTCTATGATTTTATCATTTGTTAAGGGCATGTAAGGATCGCCTGGTGTCAGAACGCATCTGAAGCAAAAGCAAAGTCAGTGTTGGGAATTTAAAAAATAAAAGCAACGCGTTTTGCATGCATGATACATGATAACTTGACAGAGATGTTATGTCAAGGGCGGTTTTGGTTGGCATCATCTATACATAATTTAAACATCCAACTGATTTTTCATTCTTCATGACTCGATCATCGATACGTGAAATATTTTCCAACTGCAGGTTAAAATTTAGCCACCACAAGGTAAAATTGATCCATTGAAATACTTGAATTCCAGGAATTACTAATGACTCGTGACGACTGTTAATAATGGCGTTCTACTTACTGGAGGAGTGAACCTTGTCCCTCAATGTAGTAATCTTCTGGAGAGGCAAGTGCTAAATCGGCAAAGCAAGAAAAATCTGCATCTGGTGTGTAAAGAAGGTTATCCAGTCCCACAGCCTTCTTCAGTTGCCTACAAGCCAAAAAGAGTCGATAAATAAACGAAGCAACAGTGTCTTATTCAGTTATTCACGGGTCTTAGCATGAGTATCCAACATTGAGTTTGCCAATATCTTCAATAAATGTGAAAATCACCTTGACCGTTCTAGATCCTGCAATTCTGTGACCCATCCGTTATATCTGAGTTGCACTGTGACAACAGGAACTCCTACTAGCTCATAAATATTATTGAAAAATTGGGATTCCCTCCATTGTTGTGGAAGTAATCTCTTAATTCCTGGGACATCCAATGCTGCACCAAACAAACAGATTAAGACATTCTAGTTGCATGACATAGGGAACAATAATATTGACGGAAAGAAGAGAGAACAACAAACCTGCAACATAAGCATCAGCCTGAACGACTTTCTTGTTAGTGGCCTACGATGAAATAAAAGGAACGTGTTAGGCATTAACCCTTAAAGAAGAAGTCCAAACTCAGACGAAGACTGCAGGCCCGTGTCAAACCCAAGGTCAGATAATGTACCATAGGAAATGCCATCAAAGTACCCAATGAATCAAAGGAAACATAAAAATGTACCCTGGAAATGGCCAAGCCCGTGACATATGTTTCGCCGCAAGCAGACTTGTCGTAAAGTATCTCTCTACATCCCCACCTAAGATGAAACCTATCCAAGTAGAGCATGAAATTTTAACTGGTGAGCAATGCCCGATAAAGGAGAAAGCAATAACAATGGTGAAATCAGTATCCAATTATCCTAAAATATTACCTGCCCCCTCTATCAGTAATATACTTCTGAATTGGGCCACTCAAGTAAACATCTGGAGAACCCTTAAGCATGCGCAATAAGGAAGCCTCTGTCTTAGTTGCAAATAATGAGAATATGGTAAGCATGCAACGAGCACTGATATTATCACAATCTATAAATCCAAGTGCATATGCCACAGGATCCCACATTCTCTGTATACTCATGCGTGTGCCACCTTTGGACATGAACCAATCAGAGAAGCTAATCTGTGAGAAACACATAATAAAGTAAGATTTAGTACATAACTAATGCACAAACTAGCGAAGTGACAAAACCGGATGAACAAATTTACAGATAGGAGACAGGATCAAGAACTTGAATCCAGACAGGCAACGTATAGAAGTTCACAGCGATGAATGGAACTAGGAGTCTCAAAAAACAAAACAAATGGATATCTTACACTATCCAAATCTCTAATGTCCTTCATGGCACCATTTGGATCAACAAGAGCCTTGACAACTGGACTTAAGGCAAGAGCTACAGCATTTCTAGCTTTATCATAAGTCTGTATATATACAATATGAAGAAGAAAAAGTGTCAACATAATTCTCAAACAGCAAAGACACAATCACTAATTACTCTTGCTGTAAAGCAGTCTATACATTTAGCTGATTTGTAGCCAAAAATGCACGAATCCCATGTATTGGGGCCCCAACTGGAAACCGAAAATCAAGTTCTGCAAAATCAGGCAAGCAATTACAAAATAGTGTCAGACATGTGAAACCAAAGAGGAAGAGCTTGAAGAGAAAAAATAATTGACAACAATCAACAAGATAAAATTTGATCAACCAAGATCAAGCACCAGAACGTACCGCCTATTTCACCCCCTTTGTTGACAAAAGTGTGAGTATGCTCCTTTACAAGTAGATTTTGATCTGCTCCAACCTAAAGTTAAATGGAGATCCAACAAAATCTATTAAAGACCACATAAACGTTGTTAAATATGTGTTTAAAGGAAATTCGCAGAAAGTAAATTCCCTGCAACCCCAATAAAATTTTTTATTCACCTTTTTCATCAACCGAAAAAGATTGTTGTAGCAACCAAAGAAAACGTGCAGTCCCATTTCAATGTGATTTCCACGTTTATCAACAAAGGATCCTACTTTTCCACCAATAAAAGGCCTTGATTCATATATATCCACCTGAAGAAACCAAGCATAATCATTAATACTATCTTTAAAGGAACAAAGAAACTATCTTCTCTATAGTAGTCAAAAATCCAACTTTCTAGCTACTTCGATCTGGGGAAAACATAACCTAAGACTGAGAGGGGGTCATGTATGTCCAACTATAAAAACAAAAGATAATGCTTCAGAAATCATAAAGCAAATGAACCAAACCTCATGACCCTGATCCAAAAGCTCAACTGCAGTTGACATGCCGGCCAGCCCAGCACCAATAATCGCCACTTTCAGCTTGGGGCCCCGATAGTGTTCAGGTTCAGGTGGAAACAATCCCTTTGGAGCTGGTAAACCAATCATTTAGTCTACTATATCTAAGAGAGAAAAAAAAGGCTTTTAACAAGTTCGTCGCTCACTTAACTGCTAAACACCAAACACTCTGGATGCCAAACCAAAGTCGCAGTCTTGGCACAATCCTAAGATCAGGCATCCTTTTTTTATCTTTCAATGGCAAATTGGATAACAAATTCAGACACATTCCATCGTATGCTATTGGATAAAAAAACCCCGGAAATTTAAGTTCTAACCAAACCATTTCCAACACTTTCTGTTTAAGCAGATGTTCTAAGCTGAAAGTCAGTCTGTAGTGCAGAAGTTGCAACAAACTTTTGGGAATAACAAACAACAAAAGTTTTATGAAACATGAACTGATGAGCTTTATCTATCAAAAGAATCCAAATTTCAACCAAAATTTAGTAAAAACAAAAATACCCATTAACCAGAAAAGGTTAACTTTCAACACTGGCAGAGAAAATAATGGACTTTTAGGATTACCATTCACACTCATGTCAGAAACATTCCCGTCCAAAGAGGAGCGAACCGATAAGGACCTGTGACTCCTAGCCGAGTTCGCAGAAGAGCGAGAGGACAACAACAACCCAGCAGTCTCCAACCGGTTCCCGGTGACGAAGGCCGTCGGAAAAAGAACCAAAGAAGCCATGATGGAAGCCGCGAAATTTCAACCAAGCTTTTCCTCTCACTTTCTTTGTGTCTTTTCCGTAAAGAACATCGGGGCTCTGTAAAAAGAGGAAAGGGGAGTTGAAATGAAGAGATTTTATAAAGGCCACAAAGAGAAGAAGAGACAGGGGGGTATCTGAGGCTGAGAAGATGCTGGGGTTGAGAATTTGGCAGGTAATTGAGTTGGGTTTGAGTGAAGTTTTTGGACTGCTTTTGAAGTTAATTAATATTTAATGCGAATTTAGAGGCACTTTTTGGACGGTTTTATATATGAAGTCATGAACTTACGTGCACTAAGGAGAGAGCAGGAAAGAAAGTGGCGACTCCTCTGACCATAATGCGCCACCACCAAGTCCAACACCAAAAACTGAGGGTATGTTTGGTGGTGTTTGTAGAGTTCAAAATTAATTTTTTAGTCATTCACAGTTAAAATTTATGACTTAGTTTGGTAGTGTTGTAAATTTAAAAAAAATTACTTTTAACTGTACTGAAAGAAGAAACAGTTGTTACAAGAAACAGTTGAGTGTTTAGTAAACTGTAATTATACTAGCTGTGCTGATTCTAAAATCAGTATAATAGCGTTTGATAAATTTTGAAATTAAATTGTTATGGGTATGTAAAATGATCAAAATAGACATAATATGAAACTTAAATATGTATAATTATTTTTGGTATTTAAAAATACTTGTTAAACTTAAAAAAAAATTCTATGATTCTGAGTTTTCTAACAATAAATTTATGATAATTAATTTTTTTTTTTTCATTTCTTCATTCACAATATAGTTACAACTAAAAAAAACATTAATGAGTAACGAACATATACAACAAAAATGTACATTCCAAATCTATACAAGTATCAATTTACACAGTGTACTACTATCCTCTATACAAGAAATTCTCTAGACGATGTTAAAAGGCCATCAAAGAATTGATAGAACATTCAAATTATTGTTATATTTACACATACTGAAAAGATGAAGCAACAGTAAAAAAAAAAAACTACAACGTTAGAAAAAACCCCACTTATGGCACATGGCAAGGACAATTCCAAATGACATTTTGAAATTTAAGAGAGTGGGGAAAGACTAATTGTAATGTTTTGACTTTACACACAAAAGGGAAAAAAATGACTTCATCTGATGAGAATGCAACTTGTTGGCGATCCCTCTAAACCAAGCAGCTTCAAGGGTAAGCAATGGAGAGAATATATTCCAACTTAGATGCCGTCGAGCTTTAGACCTTTAACCAGAATGATGTCCTGAGGCATAGAACACAACATTATTCTCACTAAGAACATCCAAAATTGACTGTTTACTGGTTCAAATCAGCACTGCCAAGCGTTCTTTGGAGAGCAACATTAAGTATGATATTACCATAAACGTCACAGCAATTTTATCAATCATATCTGACTTAAACCAAAATTGGCACAGGAAAAAGGAGAGAAGAATTAGCAGGCTTGCAAATGAATGTTTAAGATTATTATGTTTATGAAATTGTTATATTATATTAATCCTAAGTCTAAGAGGCTAGCAAAATAAAACGTTGCTAAATAGCTTATTCTTAAATGTTGGAAAATTCAAATCTGCATGGCGTACTGCTGAAAAAAAAGTACTATGCACACAACAACAAATTATGTGAGAGTTCTGATGTTCAAATACATATGTAATAACGTTACAACGCAACATCATGAAGAAATATTTGTGTTTCAAGACACAACAATTCAAATTCCTCCTGTGATATTCAACAGAGACAAATGAGATTCAGCTTTTTAGCTAATTGAATTAATTTTATCCCAGCATATTATATAGTGTATAAGCAACACTATTCCTGAAAACAAAAAAAAAATTATGCTACATTCTTAAGTCCATACATGACACATTCAAATTTGAAACCAATAGAATTGAGCAGAGCTAAATTAATACAAGTTAAGAAAACTTATAATATTTTTGCAATAAATAAAACATTGTTTTTCTAAACAATGAAAGAACTCTATAGTTCAAACTTTTTTAAAAAATAAATAAATAAGAAACAGAGAGGTTTATTGAAAAATAAAAAGTGATTAAAATGTACAACCAAAGAAGGACAATGCGTTCACACAAACAGCGTAAAAAATAAAAAATAAAAAACTGGTGGTCGAATGAGCAACAGACCACAGACAGTCGAAAACTTTTAAAAGACCACCTCTAGATACCAAAAATCTAATAAAAACAGCCTCATTCTACTCAAAATGCCTTTCAACGACCATTACTTTTATCTTGCAACATTCTCCTCTTCATCATTTCTATACTCTTAAAAGAGCTTATAAGGGAAATCCCTTACAATCCTTCTACACCTACAAGACAACCCTTCCGCCATCCGAGTACTTCAAGACCTCTTTTTTAGGGAGAAGTTTGGTTAGTTAGTTAGTGATAGAAAGAATAAAACTTGGAGGGGGGCTCAGTGGGAGGGCATAGACCAATTTCTCTGAGTTTTCTGCATCTAGATGAGCATTAGCTCTAAGGAGCACTTGAAAACCACATATCCTTGTATTTTCCTTGCTATTTTACTTAATAGAAAACTATTCAGAATCTTTTGTTCGATCTATATTCCCTGTTCTTGCTACTTTCTGATTAGTATTGAGACCAGATCCTATCAAACTTTCACTATTCTTTCCAACCAACTTAAATCGGCTGTCAAACAAACATCCTTTAACCAATATAGCTAAAGCATTAATCTCCCATTCTGAATAACCAGCAAGTTTGTAAAGATTCATAACGCAACAGTATAATCACATTGTCACAAAAACTAGGAATTAACTACTTTTATAGGACTAGAACAACTTCAATTTCATATTGTTACAAATAGCAATATTTGTACACATATCGTACAAATTGCAATTTTTGTATTCATGTTGCACAACAGAAATTGCAAATTGTTGTGAGTCAAAGAACTCTAAAAACCAAAAAATAGTAGGACAAAAAATCAGAACCAAATCCAGAGAAACTAATCAATTGAGTACTTACAGAGGTGATAGATCTGACGAGGTAGAGAACGGAGCGCAGTCGGAGGAGGAGACCCAGCGAACAGGGACACCGGCAAACCTACAACCGCACAGAGGATAAATCAAAACGAGCACAGATAAGCGAACAGAGAGAAAGACCATCGGAGAACGACAAGAGAGAATAGAGAGTGCTTCGGACCGAGCCAGAGAAAAGAGAGGACGGAGAGGAGAAGAGAGAAGATGAGTCTGAAAAATGTGATTATACAGGTGGTAAATTTAAGATTTCATTGGGGTAAAATTGGAAATAAGAAAGTTTCATTAACCTACCTTCCTTGATTCCCACATAAGTTGAAATCAGAATCAGCCTAAAACTGATTCTGATTTCAGCTTAGATTGTTTAGAAATTCTTTAAAAATCTATTATTTTACTTTTTATCAAACAGCTTTGATAGTTTCTGCTATTTCAATAAGTATTTTTTCTCTCCGAGAATTAATACTAAATCCACCCTATGTTTAATAAAAACTATAAAAAGTGATTATTAAATAATTTTTAAAAAATTTATAATTAAAATTAAAAATAATTTTAATTTTTAAATTATGCGGTAACTATCTTAAAATATAATTAATAAAATCTTCATAAATCTTATAATAGTTTTAGAATCAATACTTATATAATTATAATTTATTAAATATTTAATTATTTTTTATAACAGTTATTTTTTTCAGTATAATTAACAATAATTTTTTTAAAACCTATAGCACTATCAAACCGACCCTAAAACATGACACTAGGAGAAGTCCTCTCTACTCGTATCCTTTTACTATTTCTAATTTGACACCCGAGAAGTATTGTGGCTTAAAAAAATTTTAAAAGAATGGGTAATTTCAGTATTAGATAAATTAAAGCAAATGACCGTGAATTAAAAAAAATGACTATTTTAAACTTCTGATAAGTAAGATAAATGACCTTTTTTTTTAATTTTCTAATACACGAGTTTTCAAATTGAGCTGTATTATACACCTTCGCATAACTGTGGCTCCGTACTCACGAGAAGTGGGCCTCACATGAGCCCCGCAAAGGGATAGGGCCCACTCCTTGTAAAGACAGAGCCGTTCGGCACTTTTTTCTTTAAAATTATCTGATATTATGTTATAATTATTAAAATTTCACACTATAAATATGTTTTTTCAAAGAATAAAAGTTATTATCATCATTAAAATTAATAACACAAAACTTCAACCAACCCTCCGAAGGACTTCGTTCGGATACAACCATAAATATCCCGACTCACGCCAAGATCCTTCAAATATAAGTCGTAACTCGTAAACCAAAAAAAAAAAGTGTTTCATATTATTCTTAAAAAAATGTTCATTATCCAACGATATCCTTCAACAATAATATGATTTGATCACAAGTTAACTTTAATCGTATGTTGTCACTAGATGGAAGACGAGTATAACGCCAAATTGAAACCGTCTCTTAATTATTAAAAAGAATAAGGTCTGAAAGTGATATAAATATTTAAAAAATATCGCAAATAAACGTCATTTTTGCTTGTTACTCACGATTAATAGTTGAGTAAACATTCATATTTGACAATTGGATAGTTGTGAATATGTATACTTATTTTTTTCTATTACAAATTTTCATATCGACTCTCCTCAATATATCTCAAAATTTCTCTCTATTTTATTTAAAATCATTGAATAGAATTCAACTGGAGCCAAAAGTTTATTCATGTTGTGTGAATGTTTTAGGGTGAGAGGGAAGAATAAAAATTAATAAGTCAAGATTTATAAATTGTTATTAAATAAGCCTTTAAACACTAAATTCATACATACACTAACTTAAAATTCCAAAAGTACCCCCACTTGAACACAAAATTTTATACCATAACACTTATTCTTAAATACAAGAATTTATTATTATCAAAAAATATTTGTATCCAGGGTCTTATTACAAAATTTAAAATAGTCCCCAGAGTTTTAAAAACTCTAGAATTGCCCCAAATTAAAATTCTAAATCAGCCCTAATTTCAAAACATCATATCTATAAAAGTTATCACCGCCACTAAAGTGCCACCGTGCCGAAGAAGAGAGGACAAGAGAGGTGGCGACATAGTTTGACAACTAGCCCACACGCCGACGTCCGTTGCTAGAGAGGGGGCTTAGAGGTCGACAATGATAGTTGCGATGTGAAGTTCGATATCCTTCTCATCGTCGGTGTCCATTGTGATAGTACGACTCGCGAGGATCCTCGCCATTGCTTGCTTCTGACAACGATGAACATGTGTTTCTTCTCTTGAAGAACTTGGGGAGAGTTTTAGTGAGCTCGCAACTTGAAAAGTTCTTCAATGGTTTAGTGATCTCCCAAGTGCTTTGGTGTCTTCAACAACTATCCTCCATCAACGATGAGAAGAGACATAAGGATGGCAGAGAGAGACTAGCTATAAGAGAGAAAGATAAAAGATAAAAAAAAAATGACACGAACATAGAGATAAAAGATTTAAAGAAAAAACCTTTGTGAGAGTAAAACTTGAGAAATAAAATATTTAAAACTACAAATGGTCTATTAATTACTAATTATTGGTAAATATACTATTTAATTCTATAGATTTAAAAGTTTGACCTATTTCTACAATTTCCCAATGTCTTATGTACAAGATGGAGACGCCTTAATATGTTAGTGCTTATGATGTGGGAGCAAAGAAGCATAAAAGTTTTACGGTAATGAAACTCAAAACAAAATGATGATATATAGAATAGCCTAATATGATATCAGGATGTGCTTATTGAGAATTGTGTTGTGGTGAGGACGTCTCTTTCTATTATTTTAGGGTTTGAAATTCCATAGTTATAAAGTATAGTTCAGGCTCTTACTTCTTGGTGGTCTCTTTAGAATTGTCTAATGGTTTAAGGGAATGAAGACATGAAGTACACCACCTAATATATTTTTCTTGAGGAAAAAGAAAAAAAAAATAATTTTTTTTTTTTTTTTTTTCAAAACATGCCTACAATACATACAACATATTTACCAAAATTGAGAATAATAAAACTCCTGATACATGTTGTTTTGCTAATACTTAATTGTTCACTATATAGTTGCGTATAATTACATGACATACGTTTATCTTTTTTGACAGTGATGGATTCAGGATTTACTGGTAGGGGTATTTTTTATCAAGATTATACTAACATGTATATAAATTTAATAAAATTGAATATTTTATTTTTTAAAATTTAAATGGTTGGTCTATTAAAATGTAGAGAACTATTAATTTAAGGGAGGTCAAGTATAATTTATACACATATCTACTATATAAAAATTTAAACCACCATATTAAATAAATAAATAAATAAACTAGGGGGCCATGCCCTGTCTCCGTCACTGTTCTCTAAAGACTGTATTATAACACTCTTTGCATAAAAAAAAAAGAAGGTTACACTAGTAATTTGCTTTAAAAATATATTAAATTAGGATACCTAGCAACATGAGGTTATTGATTCTTATTAATGTTTTTCTTTATAATCTAAAAAAAAAGTCCATTTTTCTTATTTTAATCTATCCCTAACAAGTACATTATTGGTTAATTATCATAATCAGTAAAAACACCAAATTTATTATTTCTATCTATCTATATTTTCTTATTGTTTCTCTCTCTAACATACTAGACGTCAACGCAACTTTTCCACTGCATTGCTTGATTAGTAAATCAGTGGATTACTTTTCACATAACAACTAAACTGGAAATTTATGGTAATTTTTATTTTTTGATAAATTACAGCAGACAGGCCATTTTTAAAAAATATGCCTGATAAATTTGAAATTTATGTTATAAATTTGTTTCATTTACATTATATATGTTGTTTGTCGTGAAATTTAAAAATATGTTGTTTACCGTGAATATCTTCAGAAAAATACTACTCAGATCTTTCTTCCATTTTTTTTTTTTTTTTTTTTTTTAACAACGGACAAATGTTGAGTGTTACTTTCAACTTTCCAAAAAAACAAACAAAACAAAACGAAATCAGTGTACCGATGGTTTATTTTATGGCTAATGAGTATAACATTGGTTAACTATTTTTCAACATCCTTTTCATCTATCCTCCCTTCCTTTCTCTACAATTCTTTACATTCATTTTCGAGAAAACGAGACAAATACTCTTTAAAATTATATGAGTCAAGATTTCTATCATTTATTATTGATTAATAACATTTTGAGTGAAATAATTACACTAATAAAAAGTTATTAATTAATAATGAAAATAAAAATTTAGATCTATACACTTGGCATTGCGTCGAAGAAGGTATCGTGATCTTGCCTCGCATAGCCAGCAACCTCTATATCCGGTACGTGATCAGACATGTTGATAGTGTTTTTAGATTTATTTGGTCGGTTAGTTCTTTATTTTTAAAACAAAAAAAAAATGTTACAAGTGGTAAATTTGAAATTAAAACATAAAATAAACTAGTGGCAGTTTTTAATCCCACTCTAAAGAAGTGTTTGTCTTTACACTTAAATTTTAAAATACACGCCTAATTTACACGGAAACATACATATTATTATTATTATTATTATTATTATTATCAATGCGCATGCTAATTTTCAATTTTTTTGAATAAGACACAGAAAGGTTAACACTTAACATAATTACTTTTATTAATAATTTTTTATGGATAATTACTTTTATTAATAATTGTGACTTTATTGTATTTATTTTCACATTAAAAGTCTCCTGATTTAGTATTGAGTAACTTTTTTTTTTTTTTGTTTTTGCTTGAAATGGTATTGAGTAACTTACCTAAACCAATTACAAAATCAAAATTTAAATAAAGAGGTTAACTTTCCTTAATATGATAGATGAATAGGCAAAAAAAAAAAAAATTTTAAATAAAAACACACAAGAGGGATGTTGTTTTTGCAGGCCCAATAAGCCTAAGTGCGACAAGCGGGCTAAATTTTGGGCTGTAACATATGCTAGCTAACAGAATAAAATGGATCTTATTTTTAATAAATATGTAATTATTTAATTAAAAATGTTATAAATTAAAAATAAAAAGTAAAAATCCAACTCAATTTTAACTAATCAGATTGTGCATTCGTACTAGAGCTTACATAAAGTTAAGAAAATATAATGATATAACAAAGAATCAAATTGTACTTTTACTGGAGAATTCTCATAATTTTTTATTTTTTGAAAAATACAGATTAGAATTTGGACATACACGCAGAATATAGCATACAGCTGGCTTCATTCTATTTTGTTTATTTGTTTAGCGCGTGAAGTAAACGCGCGAAGACGTTACCCCCATTTGCTTTGTTATGAATTTCTTTTCATTTTGTAATGGGAATATTGGTTTAAAAGCCAAATAAAGCGAAACCCAATGCTTAATTATACATTTTTTATTTGTTTTTTTGCTCAACCACTCTTTAGAATAAAATCCCATCTCCACAAAAACATCAAAATTTCGTTCATTTCACAGATTTAAATTTTTAATTCTAAGGTTTTACAGTAAAAAGCTCTCAGAAAATATCACATTTAACTTTTTCTGCTACAGTAAAAAGTTATCAGAAAATGTCACATCTCAACTCGAATTAAAAACTCGAATCCACGAAGTAAACGAGGTCTCATCATCACAGATTCTGAAGGGACAAACAGAGAGCCTAATATCTCTCTCCTGTAGATTTTTAGAGAGAGAAAGAGAGATACGATGGGTTGGCAATGAGAACGACTTGGGTTTGGCCAGGATTGGGGTCTCTTTATGGTCAATTGACATTTATGTGTCTGTCACTACCGTAACAAAGTGCAAAATCTCTTGGGATTTTTCACACACAAAGAATTAGGTATTTTGTGATTGATACTTAACCATGAAAACGAAAGATTAAGAAATACAACTCAGAGTTAAACAAAAAGGAATGATATTCTTCAGTCTCGTTGTACTTCTTCTTGTGTAAGATTTTTTTGATGTAAGTTAAAATGCAGGTGAATTAAAATATCATATCACATAATGAAAGTCATAATAATTAATTAACGCGGTATGACTTTATTAGGGAGACAGAAAAAGAAACACCAAATATAAGTTCAATCTTTTTTTTTTTTTCGTATTTACTCCTTAAATTGTAATTGAATTGGTAAGTTGACTCGACTTCTAATTGTAGTAAATTAACCGAAAATTTAAAATAATATTTTATTGTGTACTAAATTTATGACTGATGAGTGATGTCAAAGTTTGAAAAGATAATTTTCATCTGCGTAATACGATATGTCCAAATTTTAAATATCTCCTCCAACATAACATGTAAGAAGGTGTTTCCGTTCAAATTATAACATTGTCATTAATTTGGGAGCATGTGTAATAATCTATTAAATTCAATAAATAGTTTACCAAATCTAATGTTTAGAGAACTCTTAAACTATTTTTTTTAATCTATAGGAAGAAAGGGTTATTTCAATTGTTAAATTAAATTTTCAAACTGTTTTTATTTACATATCAAAACCTTAAAAAATTAATCCAACAATTAACATAAAATTTCTATTAATAAAATAAAATAACAGTTTTCACTATAAAAGTTCTAAAAACTTAAAATAATTTTGACAAACTAAGAAAAAAGATATTTTTTATTAAAATTAACAAGAATAAACTGTATTCTTTACTTTTAATTGTCAGATTTATATAAAAAATTATTTATTTTACATGTTTTTTTAATTTAATGTGATTTTAATATTTTTAACTAATTAGAGAGTTCATATAGAGAAAATCTAAAAAAAAAGGTTAAAAGTTGTCAATTATGAATAATCGGGAAGTAAATGTGCCAAATTCTTTTACGTTTAATTGATACAAAGACCAATTAAAATTTAGAATGTGAGATTGCTCAAAAAAAAAAAAAAAAAAAAAAAAGAACGTGAGAGCCATCGTGCTCGCACTTCATGGGCACGTCTCTGAGGGGAGAGAATCACCGGTCAGGACCCACTTCTCAAAAACCGTTTCTTTTTCTCTTCCCTCATTCTCGTTAATTTTGGTTCTCTTTCCC